ACTTTCTTGGTACTATTATTTAAAGCTTCTACACATTTTTTTTTTTTGATAATCCAAATAATTGAAAATAAAGGAAGTACAAGGGGTACTCCAACCCATTACAAAATACCACATGTGAACTAAAAATACCGTTTCACAACAAAGAACCTAAGCTAGACCATCACAACCAGCCCACAACATTGAAATAAAAATTGCAGAATCAGATTTCTCTAATAGACTCGTTTACCACCTGAATACATTTATCTAGGTGAGGCAAGCTGCTGGATTCATGGACCAAGAAGCAAAGTCGTACCTAAAATCTTTATGCCTTGTCCTTAACCAGTTCCAGGTTCTAATTTTAACCAAATCTACCATCTCCATTGCAGATATTTGAGTGGAAGAAAAGACCACTTCATTCCTAGCCAACCACACTGTCCATATGATGGCTAACCAAATAGATATCCAACAATCCTTTTTCTGAGAGTTACAAAAAGAAAGACCGGAGAATTGTTCCAAGTGCATTGCACAATTATTATGCATAACCGTGCTAACACCTAACCAGTTAAAACATTCCATCCAAACTCGAAAAGATTCATGACACTCAAAAAATATATGTGATATAGTCTCCATGTGGCCCGTGCAGCGAGAGCACTCGACCTGTGAACTGTTCAAGATGCCTCTAATAAACAAATTGTGTTTAGTAGCAACTCGGTTAAGAATTACCTTCCAAGCGAAAGCTGTAACCTTTGTTGGAACTACTTGCGACCATACTTTTGAAAAGATTTTATTGGATGCAAAAATCCTTTCATTTCTAATCTCCTTATATGCAGACTTGACAGAGTAAATACCACTGGGATCAGCAGTCCAACTCCAACGGTCTTCTACTTCAACCTTTAGATTTAGCTCACTGATTTCTGTTGTAATAGAATTCAATAGATCTTCTTCCCACTGAAATAACTCTCTACGCCATCTCCAACACCACTCAGGGCCTCCATTCCTCCAAACTAACAAATCTGAGATTTTAGCTTTCTTATTTTCTACAATGAGATACAATCTATTATACCTTTGTGACAACCTACCTCCTTGCAACCAATCTTCCTCCCAGAAATATGTATTTTTCCCTTTCCCAACCACCTTTCTACACCTATTTGTCATCCAATTGTTGGTAACCAAATTATCATTTTCAATGCTACACAAGTCAGCCCACCATCTAGAACCTTTCACCCTTGACCCACTTGAAAAGGACAAATGATCTCCATACAAGGAATTAATTACCTTTACACATATTAAAAACAATTATAAATAAATAAATTTTTTTTACAATTTTATTAAAATAATTCACTCTCTTAATAATGTGTTACGATTAATTGTGATAATTAATTAGTTTATATAAAAATGAACTAAAAAAATAATTAATATTTCATTAAAAAAAATAAGAACATCATTCATTTATTACATTTTCCAAATATTAAACTGCAGTGACTATGGGAAGGAGAGGGTGTAGATAGTAACTCTGCTGAATGAATAATGAAGACGTACCATGGACCAACATGCTATATGCCATGTTCTCTTAGCCCGAGTCTCACGAACCCATTTGAGGGTATATTTGATGAAGCCCAATTTGTTTTACACAAGAATGGCAAAACTCCATATAGATTTGAGGTCTGTCTAAAAGCTAAATTATCTATTTGATTATCTATCATCATTTCTGTTTATATGATTGTTCTCCGGGTATTTATTGAGTTTAATTTTGATTAATCTCGGTATAATTTTTTTTAACTCTATTGCATGATTAATAATAATTATGGGTGGCAAAACGGGCTAACCCGCCCCGTTTTGGCCCACCCCGCCAATGACCCGCCAAAAACAGGCTGGGTCGGGCTGGCCCGCCAATGAAAAACGGGTTGAAAATGCTGGCCCGCCTCGTCTAAGGATGGGTTGGCGGGCTAGCCCATATACCCAAAAAATAATTTGCAAAAAAATGGAAAAAATAATTTACGTAAGCAAGGTAGGCCTTTTGAACCATGCTGCCCAAAGATCCAAATGGAGAATCAGTAGTAAACTGTAATAGCATTTCTCTGTTGCCAAACATCACGTTTACTGTTGGAGGCAAACCTTTCACCCTCACCCCTGAGCAGGTTTGGCTTTGAAATTTTGATAAATTAAATTAAATGCAGTTTTTAGTAGAAATTAGAAAACGGTAGGGTTTTTCATAAACGGTGGGGTTTTTCATAAACAAACTTTCTTATCATTATATTCACTGTCGCATCATTGGAAAAATTAGAAAAAAAATAGAAATGGTAATAATAATAAATAGGCAAGACGCAGCACGGAATCACTTGTTTTACACGCACGCGTAATGCCTCCTTGTTCTGGACGAAGCCAAGTAGAAAGTGAAGGTGCTCTTCGGTGTCCGTGGTTGGAATGGAATTGATTTAGGGTTTTGGCTGAAACGGACTCTCCTAATCTCTTTACCTGTTGGGCCTGATTTTTTTTTTTATATATATATATATAAAGCCTATTATTTTATTCATACTAAAGCCCAATCATATGTGGGTTGGCTGAAACAGACTCTCCTAATCTCTTCACCTATGCGGGTTGGCGGGTTGTGACAGGCCAGCCCGCTATTTGGCCCGCTGGGTTGGCGGGATTGGCGGGGCGGGCTTGGCGGGTTGGCAGGCTGAAATGATGGGCCA